TGCTGGCCCCACTTGCCTGCTTTTTCAGATGTTATTATCACTAGCAAACACTGCCTTGATCAAGTGAGTAAAAGAGAAATCGAGAAGGCATCTGGGGCAGACAAGCACAGACTTTCACGGTGGTTTCACAGGGCTATGACTCCACACGACACCATCTGTGAAAGTCACTGGGCTCTGATCTGGGGCTACACACTCAGCTTCCTCTGCAGAGGTCATGTGGTCTTGGTTACCAGTCACAATTCACTGTCAACAAGCCCATTTCTTTGCAGTTATTGTGGATTCTGAGAACAAAAGGAAAAAACAAGTAATTGATTAAGGCAGAGATTTTCCCATTAGTCAAAGTGTTTACATACTTCAAATAAAATCTGAGCCCGTTAGCCTGACACGTGGAAAGCCAACTGCTTTCTTTTTTTAAAAAAGATTTATTGTTATTATTTTTCTATTGGAAAGGCGGATATACAGAGAGGAAGATCTTCCGTCTGATGATTCACTCCCCAAGTGAGCGCAACTGCTTTCCTGGGCCACAGGCAGCAGGCAGGGAGCTGGAAGGGAAGCGGGGCTGCCGGGATTAGAACCGGCGCCCATATGGGATCCCGGGCATGCAAGGCGAAGACCTTAACCACTGCGCCATCGCGCTGTGCCGGGACCCCAACTGCTTTCTAACTGAGCGGAGGTAGAGGAAGTTCGAGGACTGGCACGGTGCCCTAGCACATTAAGCCAGCATCTCAAAGGGGCTCTGGTTCATGTCCCGGCTGTTCCACTTCCCATGCAGCTCCCTGCCTGGCGCCTGGGAAAGCAGTCGAGGACCCTGCACCCATGTGGGAGACCTGGAAAGAAGCTCCTGGCTCCTGGCTTTGAATCGGTGCAGTTCCAACCACTGCAGCTGCTTGGGGAGTGAATCAGTGGATGGAGATCTTCCTCTCTGCCTCTTCTCTCTGTATATTCATTTAACTTTCCAATTCAGAGTAAATAAAAAATAAATAAATCTTACAAAAAAAAAAAAAAGAAAGAATGAAGGGAGAGAGATGTTTTGCATCCACTGGCTCACTTCCCAAATACCTGCAGCTAGCAGGGATGGCCCAGGTCATTGCCAGTGACAGAAGAATCCTCTGGGTCCCCCACAAGGGTGCAGGGGCCTAAGGACTTGGGTCATGCACCCACTGCTGTCCCAGGTGCCTTAGCAAGGAGCTGGATCAGAAGTGAAGTAGCTGGGACTTGAACCAGATGCCAGTGTTGCAGGTGGCAGCTCTACCCACTGTGCCCGAGGCCAGCCCAAGGAGAAGCATTTGATGCAGTGATCAGGTCAGCACTTGTAATCTCGTAGTCTCAAACACAATGAAAACAAATTGGAGAGTTCATTTTTTTTTTTTTTTGCCACTATAAGTTTATCTTTTAGATTCTATTTCCTTGAACTTTGACTAGTAGCCCATGTTGCTGTAAAGGATGTCAGGACTGTTATTATAATTAGGACGCAACACTGTTAACACTGGATCTAGCTGGTTGCATTTAACAGCACTGTGGTGATATATATATATATAAAGTCCTTGTTTTGAGGAAAGAACTCTACCCAGGACCCTGTATGGTGAGACTTGATTCTTTTCTGCCTTTCACTTTTGTTTTTGAAAGGGAGTTATGGGGGCTGGCAGGATGGCTCAACAGGTTAATCCTTTGCCTACAAGCACCGGCCTCTCACGTCTGCTCTGCTCCACTTCCCGTCCAGCTCCCTGCTTGTGGCCTGGGAAAGCAGCAGAGGACAGCCCAAGTCCTTGCGCCCCTGTACCCAAGTGGGAGACCCAGAGAAAAGCTCCTGGCTTCAGCCACTGTGGGGCATTCAGAGAATGAAGCAGCGGATGGGAGATCTTTTTGTCTCTCATTCTGTTAGTCGGCCGTGGCAATAAAAATAACAAATCTATTTTTAAGGCACTAATAAAGAGAATTGAAACAGAATTTTCCATCTGTTGGGTCACTCTCCTAACAGCTGTAGCTGCCAGGGTGATAGGGTTAACTGTCAGGTGAGAGATTCCAGGAACTCTGGGATTCCTAAGAAACACCTGCATCCTGTCCTCACGCACCTGCGCTCTGAAACACGAGCAGGCAGGCAGGAGACAGGTACAATGGTGCAGCTTTCAGAGCTCCAGGCAAGCAGTCACCTTCCAGGCGTGCTGTGCTCTGTCTACCCTGAAGCGACAGGATGGGAATCCTGAGGTTTTTCATTGTAAATCATTTTTTTTTTTTAGGATTTACTTATTTTTATTGGTGAGGCAGATATACAGAGAGGAGAGACAGAGAGGAAGACCGTCCTTCCCATGGTTCACTCCCCAAGTGGCTGCAACAGTCAGAGCTGAGCCGATCCGAAGCCAGCAGCCAGGTGCTTCTTCAGGGTCTCCCCCACAGGTACAGGATCCCAAAGCCCTGGGCTGTCCTTGACTACATTCCCAGGCCACAGGCAGGGAGCTGGATGGGAAGCAGGGTTGCCAGGATATGAACTGGTACCCTTATGGGATCCTGGCACATTCAAGATGAGGATTTTAAGCACTAGGCTACCACACCGGGCCCACATTATAAATCTTTCTTGAAGTAACTGGATCAGAATCCTAAACATTGTAAATTTTCACCTGCTCATTATGTATTTACGCAATATCATTATATATTTTAAATAACTCCTATTATGTATTTACCCAGTATCATGCAGCTATTGATTTCCTCATTGATGACTGCTATAAAAAACCCCATTTATTTTGTTGAATGCACTTCTTGTTCATGGCAAGAGGTTGCTCCAGGACTGGAAATTAAAACCATTTCATTGCCTTGGAGTATCACTCGAATTCTTTGAACCCCAACGCCAGGGCTTGTCTAGGCTGGAGCCAGGAGCCCCGAGCTCCCTCTGGGTTCCATGTGCATGCAGGGGCCCACACTAACAACCATCTCAATAAAAGCCATTTCCACCTCTAAAAAAAAAAGATATTTATGGACAGGAAGAATGGTAAACAGCGCACCCTAGCTGGTGAGCAACACCAGCCGCTGCCCAGCTATATAATTTTTTTAATGTATTTATTTATTTTAAAAGATTTTTTGTTATTTTTTATTACAAAGTCAGATATTTTATTGTTTTATTATTTATATTTTATATAGTCAGATTTTTATTACAAAGTGAGAGAGGAGGAGAGATAGAGAGGAAGTGGAGCTGCCGGGATTAGAACCGGCAACCATATGGGATCCCGGTGCATTCAAGGCGAGACCCTTAACCACTAGGCCACGCCGTCAGGCCCTAAAATATTTATTTTTATTGGAAAAGCAAATATACAGAGAGGAGAGACAGAGAGAAACATTTTCCGTCCGATGATTCACTCCCCAAGTGACCACAACGGCAGGTACTTGCTGATCGGGAAGCCAGGAGCCAGGAGCTCTTCCGGGTCTCCCACACCGGTCGATGCAGGGTCCCAAGGCTTTGGGCCATCCTTGACTGCTTTCCCAGGCCACAAGCAGGGAGCTGGAAGGGAAGCGGGGCTGCCGGGATTAGAACTAGCGCCTACATAGAATCCCAGTGTGTTTAACGCAAGGACTTTATCCGCTAAGCTTCCAGGCCGGGAAGTTTTTGTTTTGTTTTAATGCTGACTGCTTATTACTGAAGCGCTCTTGAGAACTGAAGCCTGTGTCTGTGGGCCTACACAGCTGGCAAGAGGCACAGCATGCTTCTCACAGGCACTGTGCCAAGGGGTTTAAATTCCCGCCCCAAATCAGTGGGTTGGAGGACACTATTATTGCACCAAGTAAGTACCTGGGAAAAGAACTGTCTGGCCCTCCTGGGGCTGTCGTGAAGATCAAAAGAGCAGGCCCAGCACTGGAAGCCAGGAGGTGTGAAATACGCATTTACTATTTATGCTTCCTGTTACAGACAAGTATGTTGTCTATGGCTCACAGCAGGTGGAACAAACAGGACTTTCAACTCAGTTCCGGAAAAAAACCTAAAGCACTTTGCTTCCTTTCTTCTTTAACACTTTCCCTCCAGGCCGGGGGCTGCGGGAGGGCCGGGCAGCGCTGTTTGGGTCCCGTCCTCCGGCCCGTCCACACCCGCTCCGCACGCGCGGCCCTGCGAGCTGCCCACCGAGTGCCCGGTGACTTCACGACACCCCGCGTCCCTCAGGCTGGGATATCCGCTCCGCAGCCGGGAGCCCGAACCACGCTGCTCTCCCGCCTGCGCAGGTGACCCCGTCGCCGACCCCCGAAGGGCTGTTCTTCCCTGCCCAGACAAGACGGGCCTCCAAGGGTCCAACACGCTAGCCCACAATCGCCACACTCCACGACCCACCTCCCCCTCGGCAGCGCCGCGCGGAGCCCCCAGCGCGCCGTCCTCCCTGCGAACTACATTTCCTACAATCCCATTCGGCCGGACCACCTCCGTTCGGGGTGAGGGGTGCTGGCGGGGGCGGAGCTGGGGGGTCTCCCAGGACAGATCGGTGTCTCCCGATGTGTCCTGTCGGTGTCCCTCTGATGTGTGAAAATAAATTCTCTGTAATTCTGGAGAAGTCAGTCACCTGTCTCGGTCAGGTACGACGTTTGCCTTTTGCACCTCTTGGCGCCCCCCCGTCCCTAAGACGGCAGATGGTCGAGCCCAGAGCGCAGAGGGGCGGGTCCCTGGAGCGGGCAGCGTGCGCATGCGCGCGGGCGCAGTTTGGACGGGCGCCGCAGGGCCCCCAGCCCCTAGTGGGTGAAGGTGAGTGGGGCGGGGCGCGTGCGGGTGGACTGGCCGGCTCCGCAGGGTCCGCCGCAGGTGCAGCGCTGCCGTCCCGGTCAAATCCGAAAGCCCCTGATCCCAGGTCAGAACCTGCGAGTGCCAAGGGAACGGCTGTAGCGTTTATATGTAAACATTTTTTTTTTTATGCCTTCATGCTAGCCATTCTTATCATGTGACTTGGTTAAGGTGTTAAAATTTGCGTCCTACATTTTCCTCCTAAAGTACGAAGATCGGCTTGGGTGAGTTCTACGAACTTTCCAGCTATGAAAATCTGTGGTTTATGAGCCGTAGAACCTAGATTACATCACAATATGTTCATGCAAACCCTCGCCGGTTCCATTTCTCGGTTTAACATCAGTGAGACACAGCTCCAAGGATTTTGGCAGCAGCCGTAACAAGCACTGACCTTTTTGTATGTGTGATTTGACATCCTAGCTTTTCCCCCTTGTTGCTGAAAATAAGACAGGAGTTGTTACTCAGCCTGTTCTTTGCTGTTCTCTTCCAGCTCGTTGCTGGGGAGAACTCTGGGTACTGTGACACGTGATGATGGCTCAGCTCTTAAGATCCCATCTGCTCAATGCTTCGGTAATTCCTACTCGAGTTAGGACACTTCCGCATCTTGGTGTCCTTCAAGGGAGAAGGATGTTGACCCACAGGTCCAAAAAGAAGCTCAGTGAATATTACAGGCTGCTGAATTTGGACGAAGGATGCTCTGCGGATGATGTAAGGGAGTCCTTTCGCAAGCTTGCCAAGCAGTACCATCCAGACAGCGGCTCTAAGACCGCTGATGCTGCAGCGTTTATAAAGATCGAAGAAGCTTACAGGAAAGTGCTTTCCCACGCCATGGAACAAAGCAATGCCAGGAGGCATAAAGTTGAAGAAGCAGAGGAAGAAGAAGAAGACAAATTCAAATATAAGACGCCCCAGCACCGGCATTACTTAAGTTTTGAAGGCGTTGGTTTTGGGACTCCCAGTCAACGAGAAAAACAGTACAGGCAGTTTAGGGCAGACAGGGCAAGCGAGCAGGTGATGGAGTATCAGAAACAGAAGCTGCACAGGCAGTACTTTGCTGACAGTGTCACCGTTAGGGATGTAAAACACAGCAGAGAACAAAAGATAACTCAGGCCATCGAGCGTCTAGTGGAGGACCTCATTCAGGAATCCATGGCCAGGGGGGACTTTGACAATCTCAGTGGGAAAGGGAAACCCCTCAAGAAGTTCTCTGGCTGTTCCTATCTTGACCCCATGACCCACAACCTGAACAGAATCTTAATCGACAATGGTTACCAACCAGAGTGGATTCTAATGCAAAAGGAAATCAAGGATACCATCGAGCAACTCCGAGAGGCCATTTTAAATTCTAGGAAAAAGCTGGGGAACCCCATGACAGCCGCTGAGTGCCAGCAGTGGAGCCAAGTCTGCGAGCAGTTTCAAGAAAACATCAGGAAGTTAAACAAGCGAATTAATGATTTTAATTTAATTGTTCCCATCCTGTCCAGGCAAAAAGTCCATTTTGATGCACACAAAGAAATTGCCAGGGCCCAGAAAATATATGAGACCCAAATGAAAGCGGAAGAAGTCGCAGAAGCACACTCGGATCCCAGCAGTGAGGGAGAGAGAGAGAAAACAGCTACAGTCAGGACAGGTGTGTTTAAGTGGGTGAATCTGTGCAAATTGATTAAAATATGACCAATCAGATGTCCACTGGCCCAGGATTGCCCGACGTAATTTTCACTAGGGATGCTAAAATCTGTTGCTGTAACGTGAGAATTTGAGAACTGGGTGCCTTTGTAAGTTTTCCCAAAACTAGTTACATCCCTGGTGAGGTGTATGTATGAAAGCTGTAAGAAAGTAAAGGGATTTTCACCCAGCTTTGCTCCAGCAATAGCAAGCAAGAAGGAGAACTTGTACGAAAGCAGCTTAAATCGTTTCAGAGTTTGGATGTCAGTCATCAGGTGTAGTGAGCCTGCGCTGGGATTCAGAGAGGATATTCCGGAAGTCTGGGTGTAGTTGAAGTTCTAATCACTTAAACACAATTATCATTTGTCATTTTGAAACACAGGTACTTAATGATACACCTATACATGGATTATGAGAAATCAAAAAACTAAGTACAATGAAATTTAACCAATTAAACTTACAAATTATTATTAATATTTTACTATGACAAGTTTGTGAAAGTTGTACTGCTGCAATTGTTAAAGCTAGAAGCTGCTTCTAAGGCTTGTGGGACATCCTTCCTGTGAATCAAAATGTTAAGATCAGAAAATCAGCCTGATAGAATTACTGCATTCTTCCCTTTTCGAAAGTCTTTTCTGGGTGCAGAATAAAGAAATGAGTATACATTGTGCTTTTTCCTGTCTGCCTTCACAATCCATCAACCTCAGGAATTGGCCAACTAGTTGATGTGGCAGTTCTAGAAATAATACTCTCGTGTCCACTTTTTAAAAGTTTCAGTGCATTTTGCGACCTTTCAGATGTGTTTGAAGTCCTTGGGTCAGCACAGGTGTGAGAGTTCACCTCTAGCTTTCTTTGCCGCCTGAGATTGTCATGTTAGCTTTCCGTAAATCTACTTAAATCTTGTGTCTTGAATCAGTCACCCCAGCTTTTTGGCAATATGTAAACCCTAAGTTCGTGTCTTAGGGGCTCAATTTCCTGTCTTAGGCAGTCTTTAATAAACAAAAGGAAGACATCTGAATTTTGGGCATTTACATGTTTTGGCAAGGAACAAGGAATTGCCATGCCGGAAATTGCTGTGCCACGTCCACTTGGCAGAACATCTGATGTTCAGATCTGAATTTGGGTCAAAAGCAGAGGAATTGTTCTTCCTCTAATCTGGATCCGTGGGGTCAAGTTGAGGTTTGGAAGTGTGGGGATGGTAAGCCTTTCTGCTGAGGTAAGGGGGCATTAATTGGCATAATTATTTCATGAATTGTCAGTTTTCTATAAGGATAGGCTTAAGGTAAAAAAAAAAATGTGGTACTATGAAATACAGCTTTGTAATAGTCATAGTTCCAACACATTTTTAAAAGGTTGTATTATGTGAATTTCATAAAAAAATAGAAGTTGGCTGTAAAAGGCCGCATTGCAGCAACATCAATCCAGATGGGATGAATTTCAGTATTGGACAATGGGAGAGGTGAGATCACCAACGGACTTCTCCAAATTGTTAATTTCAGCACGATGCACTTTATGTTTGTAAATATTGTCTATAATTTAATAAAATTTAATGATTTTTCAATGTCTCGTTGTATAACTATTAGTACAATGATAGCAGTAATAATATTTTTGGCTGCCCTCCTAAGTACATTAAAAGGACTTAAAAGATGTTTGTTAATGTTGGCTGGCAGTGATACAACAGGCTAATCCCATGTGAGTGCCAGTTCATGTCCTAGCTGCTCCACTTCCCATCCAGCTCCCTGATGATGGCCTGGGAAAGCTGCAGAGCGTGATTCTTGAGCACCTGTGTCCATGCGGGAGCGCTAGAAAAAGCTCCTCCTGGCTCCTGGCTCCTGGCTTTGGATTGGCTCAGCTCTAATCATTGTGGCCCTTTTGAGTATGAACCAGTAGATGGAAAACCTCTCTATTTCTCTTTCTGTGTAAAATGTGTCTTTCAAATAAAATAAATACATAAAAATTAAAAATAAAATATTTATTTAAAAGGTACAGTGATGGGGACGGGGGAGAGGAATTTTCCATTTGCTGGCTCAGTCCCCAATGGCCGTAAAAGCTCGAGCTCAGCTGGGCTATAGGCAGGAGCGTGGAACTCCATCTGTATCCCATGTGGGTGGGCAGGGACTCAGATCCTCTTCTGGTGCTTCCCAGATGCATCAACAGGGAGCTGGGAGTCCCAGGGGATGGTTTATCTCACTGTGCCACACACCTAAAAAGCTTCCCAACAGTTTCAAAGCTGTAACCAACATTGTTTTAGTTAAGAAATTATATAAAAACAGATTTGATTATGTAACTAAGTTTCATGCCAGAAAAAGGAGTTTGGCCAATGTACCACCTTGTTAAATTAAAATTGGTCACTTCTAATTGCAGTGTTGATCTTTTTCCTTTTATTTATATATATATATACATAATATATATAAATATAATATATAATATATATACATATAATATATATATATACACACATTTATTTTTATCAGAAAGGCAGATTTGCACAGAGATGGAGAGGCAGTGTTGGGACAGGCCCAAATCATAAGTCCATAACTCCATCTTGGCCTCCAACGTGGGTAGCATGGGACTACATATTTGGGCCACCTTCTGCTGGCTTCTTGGGTGCATTAGCAGGAATTTGGCTTATTAGCATGGAAGCTGGGACTTGAGCTAGCACTCTGATATGGGATGCCACCATTGCAAAGGATTAGCTTAACTCACTGCACCACAGCTCCACCCTCCTGTTCTTTTTAACATGTATTTGAGGGCCCTGTGCAGTAGCCTAGCGGCTAAAGTCCTCGCTTTGAATGCACCAGGATCCCATATGGGCGCCAGTGCTAATTCCTAAAGCCCTGCTTCCCATCCAGCTCCCTGCTTGTGGTTTGGGAAAGCAGTGGAGGACGGCCCAACGCCTCAGAACCCTGCGTCCACATGGGAGACCTGGAAGAGGCTCTGGGTTCCTGGCTTGGAATTAGCACAGCTACTTGAGGAGTGAATGATAGGATGGAAGATCTTCCTCTCTGTCTTTCCTCTCTGTATATCTGACTTTCCAATGAAAATAAAATAAATCTTTTTAAAAAATAAAACAAAATGTATTTGAGAGGGAGAGTGTGTGAGCTGCCTCACTCTGATGACCCACAAAGGCTGGGACCTGACTGGGGTTGCCAGACAAGAGCCGTTTCCCAGGGTCTGCGTCAGCAGCAGGAGGCTGGAGTCAGGAGCTGAACCCAGATACTCTGATGAGCAGTGTGTGGGCTGCTTAACTATTAGCCAAGTTGTTGTCATTGCTTGTTGGCCTGAATCTGGGCCCTGCTAGCTTTGCTGGCACCTTGGGACGAGTGCACAAGTCCCTGGAGGGAACAGCTGTGTTCGTCTGCGTTTCTTCCCCGCCGTGTCTCCACAAGGAAGGCTTGCTCTTAGATACAGCCCTGCCAGGGCCAGAGCCCCTCTAACCTTGCCTCTGCACTCACCACTATCCATTCCTGACATTCTCTGCTACCAGGTGCCTCCATGCCCATGGCTGGCCTCAGCCGTCCTTGGGATCATTGCAGTAGCTCCCAGGGGTGACTCCTGCTGATTTGCATGTTCCTGAAAGCTCTGCCTTTCCCTTGGACTATTTCATTCCTTTGGTTTGTATTTATTGGCATTCCCAGTGAGCATATGCCATTCTCTTGTCTGGATCCATGGTAGTTTGCAGTTGGAGGACATCAGTGGACCCTGGCCACGAGCCATCATTTGCTGCATTCCCAAGTGTGTTAATGGGAAGATGGATTGGGAGCAGAAGCAGGACTCGAACCCAGGCTTTTTGATAAGGGATGTGAGTGGCCCAAGAAGCATCCCAACAATTGTACCAATCACCTTGCCACAGTGCCCATCTAGGATTTCAGGGCTGCTGGGGCAGACATCCTGCCGAGTGTCTCACTGGGCTGGCACTCAGGTACACATGGGCCTGGCTTTCTTTTGAAGCTCTGGGGAGAAGCCTTCCTTTGCTTTGTGTCTTCCAGCTTCCAAAGGCCACCTGTACCCTTGGCTTGTGGCTATTTCCTCCATCTTCCAAGCCAGCAAACGTAAGCTGGCATCACCGCTTTCAAAGATCTTTTGTGGTCACATCAGGCATTCCAAGACGACCTGACATTGGCTGCTTCAGGTCAGCGGAGCAGCAAGCTTGGTTTCATTTGCAGCCTTAGTTTCTGTCTGTCACATCGTGCAGCAGCAGCATCTACAGATTCTGGGGACGGGGACATTGCCCTCAGCCAGTTTCCTGATACCACAGTGTTCCTCACACTTTCCCCCCGCCCTCCCGCTTCTGCCCCACACAGTCCTTTTTTTTTTTTTTTATGATGTATTCATTTTTATTGGAAAGTCAGATATACAGAGAGGAGGAGAGACAGAGAGGAAGATCTTTCCTGTACTGATTCACTGCCCAAATGGCTGCAAAAGGCCTTGGGCCGTCCTCTACTGCTTTCCCAGGCCACAAGCAGGGAGCTAGACAGGAAGCAGGGCCACCGGGACATGAACTGGTGCCCATGTGGGATCCCGGTGCATGCAAGGTGAGGACTTTAGTCCCTAGGCTATGGCGCCAGGCCCTTACATGTATTCAAGACACTCTTTCTATATATTCTTTACTTGCCTATTAATATATCTTCCAGCAATTTCCACATCATCAAATACAGCTATCCACGATTTGTTAGGCCTACATGTTATTTGCTCTTCTTGAAGTTAGAACTCACCAGTACTGACCCAATGAAATAGATAGCAGTGTAGCAATGAAGTAAATAGCAACACAAGGTTATGCAAACAAAGACCACAAGGTATGGAGAGGGCAAAATGTAAGCTGAAGTTAACATGGGTCAGGAATGAGATACGGCCTATCGGGGAGCCACCAGGCAGGAGGTCCACGGAGGGCACTGCTCTATCGACTGAGCTGGCTGGGCTGGTGAGAAGGGAAGATCAGTTTCCATTTTTGGACCACTTTATTTGCATTAAGTGATAGAATCTCCATAACAAGTATGTGACACAGGCACTTTCATATCAACTTCTTTTATTTTGAAACTTTGTTTATTCATTTGAAAGGTAGAATGCCAAAGAGAAAAGGGAGATTCCATCTATTGAATCCTTCTCCAAATGGCCACAACAGTTATGTGTGGGACAGGCTGGAGCCAGGATCCCAGAACTCCATCTGGGTTTCCTATGTGGCTGGCAGTGGCCTAAGTCCTTAGGAAGAAGTTCTGCTGACAGTTGATAAGAAGTGACATGACGGGGCCCAGCGCAGTGGCGCAAGTGGTTAAAGGTCCTCGCCTTGCACGCCCGGGATCCCATATGGGCGCTGGTTCTAATCCCGGCAGCCCCGCTTCCCTTCCAGCTCCCTGCCTGTGGCCTGGGAAGGCAGTCGAGGACAGCCCAAAGCTTTGGGACCCTGCACCCACATGGGAGACCCGGAAGAGGCTCCTGGCTTCAGATCGGCATAGTATCGGCCTGTTGCACTCATTTGGGGAGTGAATCATCGGACGGAAGATCTTCCTCTCTGTCTCTCCTCTCTGTACATCCGCCTTTCCAATAAAAAAATAATAAAAATAAATCTTAAAAAAAAAAAAAGAAGTGACATGACATCAGTGAGTATTTGGCTCATTGAGATTTGACGCCTACTTCCTAGAACATTTGTGTTGCCATTACAAAATACCATCAGCTGGGGAGACTACAAACAATTACGGGAGCTGGCACTATGGTTCAACCGGCTAATTTCCTACCTTCAGGTGCCAATATCCCATATGGGCACTGGTTTGTGTCCCAGCTGCCCCACTTCCCATCCAACTCCCTGCTTGTGACCTGAGAAAGCAGCAGAGAATGGCCTAAATCCTTGGGACCCTCTACCTGTGTGGGAGACATGGAAGAAGCTCTGGATTCCCTGCTGGCTTTGCGTCATTTCAGTTCTGGCTGTTGCAGACATTTGGGGAATGAACCAGAGAATGGAAAATCTTTCTTTATCTCTCCTCTCTGTAAATATGTCTTTCAAATAAAAATAAACAATTGTAT